CAAACCAGACATGTTCCCTGACTGCGAATATGAACCATGACCTTGTTGATGTTCAACCACTGAGTCACACTGGCCAAGCTATCTTGTTTTTTTAATATTTAATCTTAATGTCACATTAAAGTTTGTGGTAGTAATATTGGCTTCTGTGTCTTGAGAAATTTGATAGCTGTTTATTCTCTAGAGCTATGCAATACAATACATTAGCCACTAACCACGTGATTATTTAAATTAACTTTAATGAAATAAAATTAAAAACTCAGTTTCTCAGTCAGACCAGTAACATTTCAAGTGCTCAATGGCATGACCAAAAGGGGGATGTGTGGATTAAAAGTGGCCACATCCTAACCTGACTATCTCGGGCAAGGCCTGCACGGTGGCCTTGCAAACCTAGAGACCTAAAGTGACCACAAAGGATGGTCTGAAATTAAAACTTTTAAATTAAAAAGCACTCTGTGGTGGGTAGTCATGTCCTAGGCCAGTATCTTCCCTGACAAAAGTCATCACGTGTGGCTTCAGGCTACTGCGTGGAACATACTGAGAGGTGTTTTGCCTGCCCAGGTCTCCTGGCTAGCACCTTTTCCCTCTGTGGGGAGGACTGGTGCTGTTCTCGGTCCTGCGGAAGGGTGTACCGTCAGACGTCTGGGCTGGAGGAACAAGCAGCCAGATGAGTGCCTGTGTCCACACTGGGGGTCACTAGAGCAGCTGGATTAAGGGCAGCTGTCGGAGCCAGGCTGGTGAGTCAGGCGCTTTTGCACCTGTTGGTGGATGCAGTGTGATGTTAATGTTAACTGATTGGCTTTAGAGACCATGTGTCCTTGAAGCTGGGGCTTAAGAGCTGGCAAGACCCAAGTCCCTTAACTTTTCTGAACCCATTTTCTCCTCTGTAGAATTGGGATGAAATACCTACTTCCTAGGTTTGTTATGAGACTCATATTAGGTAAAGAATCTGGAATAAGGAATATCAGATACTCCCTGGCTGGGTCACTCAGTGACTTAGAGCATTGTCTCGATTAGCCAAGGTTGCAGGATCTATTCCCAGTCAGGAAACATGCAAGAATCAACCCATGAACTAGGAGGTCACCCCTGTCAGGGCACATGCTGAAGTTGTGGGCTCGCTTCCCAGTGGGGGATGGTCAGTGATTGTCTCTCATCATCGATGTTTCTATCTCTCTCTCCCTCTCCCTGAAATCAATGAAAACATACTTTAACCGAAACCAGTATGGCTCAGTGGATAGAGTGTCGGCCTGCGGACTGAAGGGTCCCAGGTTCAATTCCAGTCAAAGGCATGTACCTTGGTTGCAAGCACATCCCCAGTAGGGGGTGTGCAAGAGGCAGCGGATTGATGATGATTCTCTCTCATCAATGTTTCTAACTCTCTATCCCTCTCTCTTCCTCTCTCTAAAAAATCAATAAAGTATATTAAAAAAAAAAAAAAGAAAACATACTTTAAAATATTTTCTAAAAATCATCCATAAATAAGTTGAACAACAAATCAATGTTTCCTTTTTTAAAAATCAAATAGCACAGTGTGGGATATGTAGTACACGTGCTTAATAACAGTTGCTTATATTCACACTAGAGGCCCAGTGCACGAAATCCGTGTCCCTCAGCCCAGCCTGCACGCTCTCCAATCTGTGATCCCTCTAGGGATGCCTGACTACCCGTTTAGACCTGATCCCAGTGGGCTTGGGCCTAAACCAGCAGTCGGACATCCCTCTCACAATCCAGGATTGCTGGCTCCCAGCTGCTCTCCTGCCTGCCTTCCTGATTGCCCCTGACTGCTTCTGCCTGTCAGCCTGATCACCCCCTAACCACTCCCATGCCAGCCTGATTGATGTCTAGCTGCTTCCCTGCCAGCCCGTTTGCCCCCAACTTCCCTCCTCTGCCGGCCTGGTCATCTCTAACTGCCCTCCCTTGCAAGGTTGATTGCCTCCAACTTCACTTCCTTGCAGGTTTGGTCCCTTCAACTGTCCTCCTTGCAGGCCTGGTGTCTCTCAACTGCCCTCCCCTGCTTGCCATCTTATGTCCATCTTATGTCCACATGGGGGCATTCATCTTTGACCACATGGGGACAGCTATTGTGTGTTGGAGTAATGGTCAATCTGCATAGTACTCTTTTATTAGATAGGATAGAGGCCTGGTGCATGGGTGGGGACCAGCTAGTTTGCCCTGAAGGGTGTCCCGGATCAGGGTGGGGGATACCTTGGGGCATGGGGCGGCCTGAGTGAGGGGCTTCTGGTGGTTTGCAGGTCAGCCATGCCCCCTAGCAACCCAAGTGGAGACCCTGGTATCTGGAATTTATTTACCTTCTACAATTGAAACTTTGTAGCCTGGAGCAGAGCCAAGCCTTCTGCTTGCTCCATGGCTGCCACCATTTCTGTTTGGATTTGCTTACTTCTATAATTGAAACCTTGTACCTTTGAGTGGAGGCTTAGGCCAGCAAGGGCAGGTGGAAAGCTTGATTTCCTCCATTGCCTGGGAAACCCAAGACTCTGTGGCTGTTGCCATCTTGTTTGGGTTTATTTGCATACTCACTCTGATTGGCTGGTGAGTGTGGCTGGTGGGCATGGCTTTTGAATGTGGTGGCGTGGTGGTTAATTTGCATATTACTATTTTATTAAGTAGGATCCTAATATATAAAAACTCAAGGTTCATAACATCCACAATGACTGGAGGCTCAACCAACCAGAAGTCAGTGCTGGGTTGCCATAGTGACCCAGCACTGACTGCCTCAGCTGTGGGAGCTGAGACCCAGCACTGACTGCCAAGGGGACTGCAGATCAGGCCTGGAGAGATGCCTGGGGAGAGAGAAGCAGGGTCTGATCCATAGCCTCTATGGCAGCTATTGATCAGCACTTACCTCTCTCTCTGTCACTCCGGGCCTGGCCAGCAGCTGCATTTCTCTTTCTCTTTCTCTTGGGCCTCCGCTCGGGAGCTGATCAGCCTGCCTCTCTGATCAGGCCTGTTGATAGACCTGAGACACTGACTGGCATGGAAACAGACCAGTCAGAATCAAATCTGGGTGAAGTGTGAGGAGCCAATGGCTGCCTAAGAGGCAGAGCTTTTGACGCTGAGTAGCGTAGAAACCGACCAGTCAGAACCAAATCAGGGTGAAGTGCAAGGAGCCAATGGCTGCCTAGGAGGTGTAGTTTTTGATGCTGACTGGTATAGAAACTGACCAGTCAGAACCAAATCTGGGTGAAGTGTGAGGAGCCAATGGCTGCCTAGAAGATGGAGCTTTTGACACTGACTGGCATAGAAACAACTAATCAGAACCTAATCTGGGTGAGCTGCAAAGGCAGAACCTAAGGTGGGGTTTGAGGAGGGGTTTTAAGGGCAACAGTTGTTTGGTCTAAAAAAGTGGTTCAGTTTTTTAATGACTAGTTTGGCAGTATAGTGCATATGACTGGCTATCAGTCCAGATATAGGGCTTATGTATTTTTTTCTGCCAAGATCATCTCCTGATGAAAAAGGATTCCCCACCACCATTTAAGCAATCCTATTTTATACAATCTATACTACTAAAAGGGTAATATGCTAATTAAACCAGGTTAACGCCATCTTCTGGATGTCTGGCTTTCTTCTGGACAAAGCCAGGGTGGTGGGGGCCAAGGCAGAGGCTGATAGGGGCAATCAGGCCAGCAGGAAAGGGCAGTTGGGACGAGATCAGACTGGCAGGAGAGAGAAATAGTGGGCAAGATCAGGCTGCCAGGGGAGGGCAGTTGGGGGCAACTGTGCCAGCAGGAGAGGGCAGTTAGGGGTGATCAGGCAGGCAGGCAGGTGAGCAGTTAGGAGCCATTGGTCCCAGATTGTGAGAAGGATGTCCAACCACTGTTTAGGACATCCCCCAAGGGGTCTCTGATTGAAGAGGGTGCAGGCTGGGTTGAGGGACCCCTCTCCCCTCCCCCCTGAGCATGAATTTCATGCACCAGGCTATTAGTTAATAATGCCATTTATTATTCTGGTTGAAATCAGTTCTCTTCTTGATGAGTGCTGAAACCTCTTTAATTCTTCTTTACTTGCCCAAATCTACTTTCCTTTGTTTTATTGTTTTTTTGTCTTTTGTCTTTTTTAAAAATATATATATTTTATTGATTTTTCACAGAGAGGAAGAGAGAGGGATAGAGAGTTAGAAATATCGATGAGAGAGAGAGAGTGATCGATCAGCTGCCTCTTGCACACCCCCACTGGGGATGTGCCTGCAACCAAGGTACATGCCCTTGCCCGGAATCGAACCCGGGACCTTTCAGTCCGCAAGCCGACACTCTATCCACTGAGCCAAACCAGTCCCGGCTGTCTTTTTTATTATTATTTATTTATTTTTTTTTTTTACTTGGGGCCTTGGGTAACTGTTAGTGATATTCAAGGATTAAGAATTCCCTGTCCCCTAATTGCTATGATACAGTGAAGAATGGGGAATAATAGATACAAAAACTAAACCTGACCTATAAGGATTCACAGAAACACAGCACTGTTAACCAGTATTTATGAGGAAGCTAGTATGTGTACCGTATTTTTCGGACCATAAGTCGCACTTTTTTCCCCCCAGAAGTGGGGGGAAAAAGTCCCTGCGTCTTATGGTCCAAATATAGCCTACACATATACTTAAAAAAAAAAGTTTTTTTACTTGCCCGGCTCTGTGTGGTCTCTGTGTGCTTGCCCGGCTCTAAAATGGTTCTAAATGCTGCTGTTTACTTTACAGGGTTGATTACATGTGTTTATGACTGTGATGTTGGGTTTTAATGCACATAAAATATTTTAGGACACTATTTGTTTCAGAATCTTTTTTTCTTCATTTCCCTTCTCTAAAAACTGGTGCGTCTTATGGTCCGGAGCGTCTTATGGTCCGAAAAATACGGTATATAGGCGGGGGCCATGTGGAATAATTGGCAAGTAGAAATGGGATCCATGAACCCCCTTCATTTGTTATAACTGTTCCACAAACTGTCATGAGAGCTATGGCTAGAAGATCCCTGATGATTCTATCTTTCCTTATGCAGCAACAAAGGAGAGAGCGTGAGGCTAGAAGGCAGCAAGAACGTGAGCAGCGAAGGAGAGAACAAGAAGAGAAGAGGCGGCTAGAGGAACTGGAGAGAAGGCGGAAAGAGGACGAGGAGCGGAGGCGGGCCGAGGAAGAGAAGAGGAGAGTTGAAAGAGAGCAGGTTAGTTCACAGGGATGTTCCCCCTGAGCTTGTGAGGTTCATTACTTTTGTAGAGTTGGGGTATTTAAGGCAGAACATACACACATGTGTGGGTGCACAAGGCCAGGACATTAGAGGTTCAGGATGCTGAAACAAATTGGAAGTAACCAGTAAACTGAGCCTATTGTCTTTTTTTAAAGTTATATAAATTATTATATTTTAGGAATCTTGAAACCAGAAAAGTGCTCTACAGATAGTATGGGGGCTGAAAGATTTCTGAATATATCTTCTCGGGTTCAGTTTAAATGCTTCAGACCTAACACTTTAAAAATGATATTAAAAATCAATTATAAGAAATTTCTTATGAGCAATATTTGAAGTAACCACTGGCTAACCAAATATTTAACACTAGAGGCCCAGTGTGCTGGTGAGGTCCCTCAGCCTGACCTGCTGGGATCGGGCCAAAACCAGCAGTGCAATATGCCCTGGATTGTGAGAGGGTACAGGCCAAGATAAGGGACTACACCCATGCACGAATCCGTGCATCAGGCCTCTAGTATGCATATAAGATCTTTGGTTAATCTCTTCCCGCCCTTCCCCCTTCCCTCTGAGATTCATCCGTCTGTTCCATGTTTCCATGCCTGTGTGTTCAGCGTCTGCCCCCTGGTGGTCGGTGCACATCATAGCTACAGGTTGAATGGTTGCTTAGGCTTTTATATAGATAGCTATCTTTGCAGTATACACATGTAGCATTTTAGAAAAACTAGCTACATTGTTTTAACCACAAAAAGATCAGGTTTAATAATATTTATTACATTTTATTAATTCCAGATGTTAGTTTTCTTTAGAACCCTCTCTGTTTCTTGAACCAGCTGTACAAACAAAAATTGAGTTTTCTTTTGTTTGTTGTCAGTGTGGATCCCATCACTAGCCTCCTTGCCTTTGATGCCTTTGAAGGAATCGCTGTTTGTTATGAGCTTTGAATAAAGAAGAAAGATATGAATGGGACCAATTTAAATGAAACTTGTGAACCATGTTTAAAATACCTTAAGACAGTGGCATTAGCTTCCAGGTGTGGTTGTTCAGTTGTTATCCTTGATACTAATCATACCCCACGGTTTTTTTGAGACTCATTCTGCCTGCTGATTGCCAGTGTTCCTAGGAATTCAAGTGACATTCTTTGTCACCTTCCTGACATTGTGGGCCAATTAACTGATGTGTTTTGTTTTCCTCACATTCCAATTTATACTTGAGAACTGCAAAGAAGACATAACATGCACTAAATGCTTTTAAAAATTAGATCACAATTTAATCCTCACAATTCAGTTGTGATAAGATGATAAGAAAGTAATACTTAGCCTTTATTTTTCTAGTGACAGGCATTAGCTATAATATATAGCAGCATTGTTCACCTCTTTAAAAAAGTAACATCAAAACAAACAAATTAAATAACAGCAAAAGTTTAGTTTTATTCGGCTTTCCTCATTCTATTGCAGCATTCCCACAAGAACAGTGCTGAGGGAACACCCCTCTGCATAAGTGTGCCTGTGTGTGTGCATGTGTTACTGCTCAGTGTCCGTGGACTAGGACCTGTGACTTGGATAGATGTACATTTTCCAGGTGCCCCTGTGTTTTGAAGGGAGGAAACAAATGAGTGGGCTACTTGATCCTTTAGCTTATGGCTTAATTCTGTCTAGTCCAGGGAGAGAGAGGGCAGTCAGGTTCTTCCTTGGTCACTCCGGGAGGCAGCGTGGTCAGCCGCTGCTGGCGGGGCAGGAGTTGCCCGGGACCAGGCTCTGGGGAGCCTGGGTTTGAGTCAGGGCGTGTTTGCCACTGGTGGTCTGGGTATGTTTTCCCCCAGACTGGCTTTTTTGTTGTTTTTAGCTAAATTTTCTGTGTAAGATGAGCATTTCTAAGGAAATTTACACATCGTAATTTCTGTTATCCAGCATTCTCCCAATTAGATGGATTGATTAGCCACACTTCTCTTCCGGTATCTTGGGGTGCAGTTTGGGATAAGGGGGTTGTCAGCAGTGGACTCTGTAAAAAAGTCTCTGTATTTCAGAGTGAAGGCTGCCCTTAGGAACCCCTTTTGAGTAGTTAGCTTTCTTCCCCATTGAAAAGGAAGGAAACTTCTGTTTCTTGTACCAACTTTGTTCTTTCTGAGGTTATCTGTATCTCATATTTGAGCCTCACAAAACCATCCTGAGAGTGGAGAGAGAATACCCCTGAAGTCATTTCTCAGATGTGGAGTCTGCGAGCCTGGGAGGGGGTTTGCTTGAACCACAGCTAGGGCCACTGGTTCCCCAGGCCATTCATGTGCATGGACACTCCAGGCTGGAGTTCTCCTCTTTAGACACATATGTTGGATGTGTTTGCCCGTTTTCATTCTTCAACCTTCTCTTCGCATCCTTCTCCTTGCTCTGTCGTGGACACGCAGGGCCCCTCATTATGAAGAGCCTGGGCCTGTTTGTTGGTGGAAAGTCGCCGACGTGTCCAGACCGGGCTTTCAGAACATAGTTATTCTAGATGCCTTGTGTATCTATCACCAGCGAAAACACAAATCATGCTTGTATTTTCATATTAAACAGGTTTTGTTTTGGGGTTTTAAAAATTGGCAACCCATGCTGGGTATAAAGAATGACTAAGCAGCAGACATTTGTGAATGAGCAAATTTCCTAAATTTAAACTGCCAGCTTCCGCATCTGCCATCCCGAAGGAGCCCCGCGGCCTGTACGGCCAACATCGGGTATGGCAGGCGCACCCAGCACCTTGTGTGGACTGGGGCGAGCACGCCATCACCTGTTACACTCCTGGTGCCAGAGTTTGAAGATCTTCGGGAAACTCTGAGCAATAGATTTTGTTGAGACTCATTACTAAGTGAACGACCACCATGGACTACTGGGGCCGATGCGGGTGCGCTCCGCTCAGGTCCTGATCTTTCTGTGGGTCCATTGATTGCTGGGTGATTTCTGTGTGACAGGAGTATATCAGGCGGCAGCTAGAAGAGGAGCAGCGGCACCTGGAAATGCTTCAGCAGCAGCTGCTCCAGGAGCAGGCCCTGTTACTGGTAACGCCCGCGTCTGTCTGTCTGTAGTGCCAGGGCGCGTCTGTCCTCCCCGAGCGGGCACAGCTGTGCGCCACCAGACCACTCTGGGTAGTGCTGGGGGCTGGAGGCTCAAGTGGAGACACCTCCGTGGTCCTGCTGCTTGGGACACACCTCCAGGTGGCTTTTTTCTACCTACTTACTTCCCACTGATAGCGGTCCTGTTCGATAGGTCGAAAGGCTTTGGACAGAAGCTGGCATTCAGCGAGCAGACAAGAATGCTAGGGGTTGATGGTTGAAAGCGCTTGCATAGGATTTCACCTAGCTTACTCTAGGTTCCTTTTGAAACCACTGCTACTGACATTTAATTTAATTCTCTTTTGCTCTGTCCAGTGATATTTGTTAGCAACAAGCTGTCAGATTTTCCACAGGTAATATGCTATCTGAAACCCCAGCATTTTACTTTGTTACAAAGCATGGGGGAAATGGCATGGTCTTTAGAGAGCTGAGAATGAATTGGAGAAGAGGCGAGCCCTCCAGTGACCCCTAGATTCAGTGTTCTCCTCTCCCTCCCCAAGGAGTGCCGCTGGCGGGAGCTGGAGCAGCACCGGCAGGCAGAGAGGCTCCAGAGGCAGTTGCAACAAGAACAAGCCTATCTCCTGTCTCTACAGCATGACCACCGGAGGCCACACCCACAGCCGCCGCCCCAGGAGCGGAGCAAGCCCAGCTACCACGCCCCGGAGCCCAGGCCCCACTACGAGCCCGCCGACCGAGCGCGAGAGGTACCGCTCCCTGCGCCGCAGACCGCAATCCTGTGGGTTCCTGGCCGGTGTTAGTGCTGGATGTGCCGGCAGCCGAGGACTGCCCCCCACTTCCCTTGGGTTTCCAGCTGAGAAGCGGGTCCTGAGAAGTGAGACTGACTCACAGGGTTTCTTCCCCAGTTCGGCATGTTCTCAGAGGACCGGAGTGCCTTTGGTACCGATTCTCAGGTGAACTGAACACTGAACTAAGCACAAGGGGAAGATTGTCCGGCAGAATCATTCTTTAAACTGCAAATGAGGGAATGGGGGCCTGGTTAACGCTTTTCCCAAATGGGGATGAGGATGAAGTGTGTCCACAACCGACTTCCTGGCTGTTCAGTGATCCTGACATGGTACCGAATTGCTGCCTCTGGTGTGGCACTGGGGTCCTGGCTCCCGAGGCGCTGGGGGCGCCCTCCTGCGCTCCTGGCCCAGAGCGCCCGGGAGCATCTGCTCTGGAACGCCCTCTGTGCCGGAGTGAGATCCCGATGGCAGTCTTTTCCTCTGCTGGCTGTGACACCTTTAACTGTTTTTCTGGTTTATCATCCTCATGTACAGCCCTAGAACTCCTGCCGGGCGGAGATGTCAAGGCTGCCTCTTTTAACTGGCTCTCATAAGTATTTCTTTATCCTGCTTCATTTGCTCCTCCCTTTTAAGCTCTCCCTTTCTTTTCTTGTAGTTGAAGTTAACAGACAATGTCTCTGTGCAGTCTGCCCACTTCCAGGCTTTCTCTGGTACCTGCTTTCCCCACTAACACTGCGTTATGTCTTCTAAATCTCCGATGCAGGTGGAAGATAGGTTTAGGAAAACTAACCACAGCTCCCCGGAGGCCCAGGCTAAGCAGACAGGCAGAGTGCTGGAGCCACCCGTGCCTTCCAGATCAGAGTCTTTTTCCAGCGGCAGCGCCGAGCCTATGCACCCCGCCCTGCAGAGACCAGCTGAGCCCCAGGTGCGGCGGCCTGGCCGTGGGTCGCGGGCGCGTGTGGGCTCAGGCCACGGGCCTGCATGTAATAATCACGTTGCTGTATGTTCCCACATTGAGAAGGAGAAGAGATTAGCAGGAGCAAGTTCAGACTAGCCTGAAGTGGACAAGACCCTCTTTTGATAGGGGAAAGTAGGAAGTTTTAAGATTTTTGTTGTACTTTCTAAGCATATCCAGATTCGGTGATTTTTCATTTAGCATTCTGTCATATGTTCATGAATAAGTGTTTTCTTATTCTAACATAAAGGATTTTTTCAGCTTAGTTTTTAGAAAGTTAGTGTTACAAGTACATAAGGGGCAAACCAGACCTTTTCTTAGCCAGACCTTGGCACCTGCCTAGCTAGAAGTGGGCATCAGAAGGCCAGCACCACCCTGAAGTTCCAGCACAAGTTTGGGGTTTTCCAAATGTGCATGCTTTTTGTTTCCTTTTATTTTTCTGGGAAACAAGCCTTTTATCAGATTCTCAAAAGGTTCAAGATCCTAAAGAAGTTGCAATGCAATAGGTTAGGTGTGGTATCCTGCAGCAGGTGGAAAGGTCACAGCTCTCACTGGTCGGCCTCGTGGCTGGTGTGGGAGAGCTGGGCTGAGTGCTGTGGGCCAGAGAGCCCTCTGCTGTCTGGAGAGAACGTGGACGGCAGAGGGTGCCATGCAGAGGCCTTGTGTCCCCACTGATGCCACTTTCTCGCTGAAACAGCAGACTTTTAGTCATTTTGCTCTGCACGGCTATGTAACTCAGAATATTGGAAGTGAGTTCTGAGACCCAGGTTCACTGAGGTTTGCAGGTACTGGGGGCAGAATTCAGGTTCTTGTGAGAAGTAGCTGTGGTGCTTCGAAAAACTAATTCAAACGAGGATTTGAATGTGCTTCCAGTAACAGCCCTGTGTGGAGGCATTTAGGGACCACAGAGCCAGGCTCTGGCCTAGCGGGCAGGGGAGGTGCCCGGGCCATGGATAGTGTGCCCCGGAGTCAGCAGCTCATGCTTCACGGGCAGCTGGCGCGCCAGCGATCAGCAGCTCCGAGTCAGGGATGGAAAGACAGAGCAGGACAGGGTGAACGGGGAAGGAGGAGGGACTAGTGGGGTCAGTTGGACGACGTTCCTGGGGAGAGGCCAGGTTTAGTTCATCTGAAAGTTAGCCCTGCCGGGAGTAGAAAACCTTTACCGCCTGGGCCATGGGCAGTGTAGGAAGCAGCGCTCCTGCTTCCGCAGACTGCATTTTAGGCGGAGGGCCCTTAAGGCCGCGCCTGGGAGGGTCTCCGGCTCCTGGGGCAGGCTGCTCTTCGGCACACGCACCTGTGCGGATGTCCTCTCCGGGCCTCCAGGGAGGGCCGCGCTGAAGCCACGCTTTGAGCATCGTCGCTACAGACAACACTTCAGGCCCACGCTTTCCCAGACTCTGAGATTGTACCGATAACTAGCTCTGTGACTCAGCTACAACTCTCAGACTGGAACTAATTTTGGATCTTGCTTTAGTGAAGACTGAAATCAGTTGTGATTTGGCATTTCCAGTTTTCATTAAATGCATTGATGTAATAGTCATATAACTGGAGTTATGTAAATTGAAATATTAAACATTTTAAAACAAAATAATAATTTAAAGAAAATACACGTTATTTCAGAGATTGCCAATTTAAAAGCAACCAGATAAATGCCCAGTTAACAAGTGTTGTCAAGTAGATCAATTAATGAATATTTCTAAAGAAATTAAGTTCTTTTTTCCTAACTATTGTGAAGATATGGAGACCTAGGGTTTGAATGTTTTAAGTCTTGGAAGAAAGAAGGAAAATGTTGGTGTAGGTGGAAAGTTGGCTGTTTTTAAGCTGCTGTATTATAATTTGTCAGAACCTGAGGGCTCTGTTTGCCCACATTTGTCAGCGTGCTGTTCACTGCCGCTGGTCAGGGCTTGCCCTGCAGGGAGCGGGCGGGTGGGCAGGTGTGCACGCACAGGCCCCTCCCTGCGCCCGCCGCCTCCAGCCTCTGCTTGGACGTGGACATGCGAGAGCACGTGTTCCCCATCAGGACGGGGCGATAAGCCTTCTTTAAACTTTAAACCTTCACGTTTGCTGCTCCCGTGGAGCTTATCTGGGTTAAAGAGTTTCCCGTCTAAGTGTGCATTGGTTTCCTGTGCACGGTGTCTCCCAGGCCCTGTTCACTTTAAAGGGGAGCAGCTTGCACCTGTTGCCTCCCCCAGTTCCTGTTTGAATTTGGAATTGACCAGAAAAGCCTTTTATGCAGAACGCATTGAATGTCTTGTGTTTTGTTTTCTTGTAAGGTACAGTGGTCCCACCTGGCATCTCTCAAGAACAATGTTTCCCCTGTCTCGAGATCCCATTCCTTCAGTGACCCTTCTCCTCCCAAATTTGCACACCACCATCTTCGCTCTCAGGACCCATGTCCACCTTCCCGCAGTGAGGCGCTCAGTCAGAGTTCTGACTCTAAGTCGGAGTCGCCTGACCCCGCCCAAAAGGCTTGGTCTAGATCAGACAGTGACGAGGTGCCTCCAAGGGTAAGAAGCAGACAGACAGATGTGTGCTGCTTTTTCCTTTTTGTTGTTTTTTAAAAATTACTAATTTCAATTAAGGGTATGGTGACGTCACCAGAATTAAGGGGCCATGAAATTTCACAGGAGCTTTTTACAGTGGGGAGAGAGCTGCACAGTTAGGAGTCAGGTCCAGCCAGTGCTAGCTGTTCATCTGTGTTGTTAACTCTGTATCTAAACACTGGGTAACAAAGGAACCTAGGAGCATGCTTTAGAACAAACGGGATAGCCTGTGTTTTAGCAGCTATCTGATGTTTATACAGAAGATACAGATTATTTTCAAATTAACCGTTATCTAACTTTTCAGAAAAGGTCTAGTAAAGAAAAATCATTAACAAAAATTTCTAAAAGGAGACATTGTTCTTTTTAAATTGAGGAATTTTTTGGCTTTGTTTTGCTTTGAATTTCTTTTTAATTTTTAATTTTTTGGTAATTACTTAATGGTGAAATGAAACATAAAGGCACATTTTAGTTTATTTTTCTTCCACTTAGAATTTGCTTCCTCTGGATATTTTCTTGCTTCCTACCAGTCTTTGTTTCCTACTGATCCATTTGTGGACATCGTTTGGTTTCTTTGAGCTCATTTTCCTGATTCTCACATTTTCTTAGCAAAATGCTTTGTATGCCCCTGCCAGCAGACCTCCGTCCACACATCTACACGGCAGGGGTGCTGCAGAGCACCTGCTGCGGTCCCGCACCTTCGCTGCCTGGACCCAGTTTTCTCTTCCGTGTGTCAGTGGAGGCAGGGCGGGTGGGCGGGTGGGACGGTGACAGCCAGGCTAACAGAATTAGGACTGCAGTAGGAAATGTTTGGAAGGGAAATCTTTTCCCCTCATATTTTCAAGAACGTGATTGCTGTGTTTTCTACCCAAAGGTTCCTGTGAGAACAACATCTCGCTCCCCTGTGCTGTCCCGTCGGGATTCCCCGCTGCAGGGCAGTGGGCAGCAGAATAGCCAAGCTGGGCAGAGAAACTCCACCAGGTAAAAGGAGGCGGAGCTTAAGGGCAGCTTACGTACAGTCGCCTTCAGGGCAGTTCTGTGGCAAAGAGGACATTATCAGTTTATGAAAGAAAAACTGCTATGAAATATATTAACCGCCTGTCTGTGAGGGTGAGTGCAGAGCAGTGGGGGAGGCCCCAAGAGCAGGGCCTTGGGGTGTCCTGGGCAATGGGAATAGGAAAATGACAAGCAGCACTGAAGAACGTCGTGGTTGGCTTACAGTCGCAGTAAACCAGTGAACTAGCCAAATCCCGTTTTCAGTGTAAAGCTCTTCTGTCCTGTGAGCAGCTCTTAGCCGCGTGAGGTTAGTGGCCGCTAGGTTATACAGCTAAATGCGAGTGTAACTTCATTAAAATGGAGTAAGTAAAACTTGATTTCTTGGTAACACTGGCGGTGTGTCGAGTGTCCGGTAGCCACTGCTCAAGCTGTGGGTCCCCACCGCCTCTGGGCCGGAGCAGGAAGAGGCCACGCTGCTGTCCTGGCCCCTTTCTGAGCCTCAGGTCCTCTGTGCTGGAGGTGGGGTTGTCCGGGAGCCGCCGAGCCGCCTGGTCCTTGGTGAGCAGGTGGCCGGGCTCTCCTGGGACTGAGTGTGCCTCGTGTCCTCCAGCCCAGTAGCCCCTGCCTCTGCCAGGCCCAGCAGGTGGCGTCCGCCCGCGCTCCCTGTCACAGCCACAAAGAGGAGGGCGCTGCGTAGTGTCAGCTCTGGAGACCAGTGTGGTCAGCTGGGAGCAGCAGCCGGAAACAGTACAATTTTGTGCATAATTTAGATAAGTGGATCTTTTATAATGTTGCTATGACAGAAATGGTGATACTTCTAGACCCAACGATAGCATTAGCTTTGCCTAATGAAGATCCAGGGTCTGCTAATGGTAGGGTATCATTAAGTGTTTGGTTTGTTGGGGTACCTGAGATAAAAGCCATGAAGAACGTTAGGGCTTCCTGTGTGTAGCCTCTCATCATACCTGTGTTTCATGTGTGCATACAGCTCAGTGCTGCATCTTGGGTAATGCATGAGCTGTTCTCTCCCCTTCTTTCCGACAGCAGCATCGAGCCCCGGCTGCTGTGGGAGAGAGTGGAAAAGCTGGCGCCCAGGCCTGGCAGCGGAAGCTCTTCAGGATCCAGCAACTCGGGATCCCAGCCCGGCTCGCATCCTGGCTCTCAGAGCGGCTCTGGGGAGCGCTTCCGAGTGAGATGTAGGGTGCCTTTCTGTACCCCTTCCTCCCCAACCCCCCTGTTAGCGACTGGGCTCTGGGTAGTACGCTGAAGGCCTCCGGCCGTGGGGCTGCCTGGCGTTTGCACAGTGCATGTCACAGGGCAGGTCATAGTGTAGGTTTAATGGCACCGGGAGTCAACAGAATTTTAATACGAGAGCTGACTTCTGAGCGTTTACACATGCCTCGCAGTGTGAGCTCTTCGCCTATGTTGTCTCATTTCATCTTCGTCATAACCTCATGAGACACACTAACTGTGCATCCACTTTACAGACCGCAGTAACCAGTTCAGTGAGATTGAGTAGCTGGTCCAAGGTGACCAGCTAAATGTCTGAGCTGATCTTCGAACCTACTTCTTTTACCACAGACTCCATCAGCATTGGCATTAACATGGTTATTTAAACGTACTTGTCATAATAGATTATGTTAGGGACATGACCAGGTTCTGTGAGGATGTGTTATGTAGAGAGTGGTGGTGATGGAGTCTGGGTAGGAGTTAGAAGCCCAGGAGTACAGACCGGCGTTTGGAGACCCTGCACAGAGGCCGAGAGCAGTGGGCAGGGGCGAGGGGGAGAAGCAAAGGCTGGTGGGCCAGTCTGCCTTGTGGCACCATCTGGATGCTTTTATGTATCTGCTTTTCTTGTCTCTCTTGAATTTCACAGCATCATCCAAATCTGAAGGCTCCTCGTCTCAGCGCCTTGAAAATGCAGCAAAAAAACCTGAGGACAAAAGAGAAGTGTTCAGACCTCTGAAGCCTGCGGTAAGGCGTGCGCAGCCTGGTGCTCCCTCCGGGTGTGGGGAGATCTTCTTGCTGTGAGCATGCTTTCGAGGCACGCCTTTCTGTGGGCCCTCACAGAAGTGAAGGGTTAGAATGAAAGCCATAGCCCTCGGACACATTTATGCCCTTCCAACTAGTCACTAAGAGAAATACAGAAGAAAGAAAGCCTTACTCTTTGCTTTGCATTAGCCTCTGTGCATCTTAGATGTGCTGGGCGTTTGTAACACTGGCTTTAGAATCTTTTCCCTCCCCTTTTTAACATCACCTGTTATTTAAGTTCCGCCTTTTGGTACCTAGAGAGGCAGCTGTGACTTTCCCATGCTCCTCCTGTAACCCCTGCCGCACTAACCGACCCTGTCTCTGCACACATTGTGGATTGTGCACCTGTTGGAACTATGATTTCCTGCTTGATGAGTTCTGTGCTCCGTCTCCCTCTCTCCGTGCTCCCTGTGCTGTGCTCCCGCCCCGCCGACGGCACGGCTGCTGGACGCAGAGTGAAGTGGTAAGCCGTCTCTGGAAACACGGGAGCCATTCCAACTGCCTTTTACACTCAGCCTCCATCTGCATTGATTTTCCTTCCTCACTTTATCTTGTATTCTTTTCTAGAATGACCAAGCCCTTATCTTTTGCTTCATCTTTTTAACACACAAAATTTGCTGCATGCATTTTTTATTATTATCTATACTTGTGGGGTTTTTTTGTTTGTTTGTTTGTTTTTGTGTGTGTGTGTGTGTGTTTTAATTTTTAAAAAGCCACACTGTATCCATGCAATGGTTAGCAAGGCTCATGGTGCATACTTAATCACTATGATTTCAGAGGCTCAGGCTTAGGCTCAAAGAAAGGAAACATGCCCCTTGCTGGGGAGAAGAAAACTGGTGGACCCGCTGGGGGGAAGGCTACAAGGCCTGCTTTGTAAAAAGTCATTGTTTTAAAATAAAATCCCCAAGTAGAAAGACTAACTTCGGACTTCTGTATGAAATGTGGACTATGAATAATAGTCGCACTTGGTCATTATATTTGGACTAGAGACCCTGTGCACGTATTCGTGCACAGGGGGTTCCTGGATTGTGAGAGGGAGGTTCTTGGGCTCCCTCCTCTCTGGTTCCGTGTCTCACCCAAGATCTGCCTTTTCCAAGTCACCGCAGTTTGGCAGCTCCTGCCCTGAGCATCTGCCCCCTGGTGGTCAGTGCACATCAGAGCATCAGTTGGCTAGTCGCTTAGGTTTTTATTTATAGAGATAATTGATTGAGTCTTAAAATAGCTCAGTGTAGATTAGAAAAGGGAAACCTTTCCTGTGATTTCTCTCTGATGTTCACATGCAAGGTGATAATTTGAAGATTTGGGGTAAGGCAGGGACAGGTAGATGTTCTCCTTTAAAGAAGACTTTGTGCCCAGTTGGCATGGCTCAGTGGTTGAGCTTCCACTTGTGATCCAGGAGGTCCTGGTTCCATTCCTGGTCAAGGCACATGCACTGGTTGTGGGCTCCATCCCCAGTGTGGGGCATGCAGGAGGCAACCAATCAATAATTCTCATCATTGGTGTTTCTCTCTCTCCCTCTTCTCTTCCTCTCTGAAATCAGTAAAAACATGTTTTTTAAAGAAGACTCTGTTACATCGGCAGGTATCTTCATAATAAATTTCAAGGATGTATCTACATAAATTTTTTATCTAGAATTGTATAGTTGGGAAAAAATAAGCAGATTCTTGTGGGGGGTTTTTGGTGTGAGATTTGGGCTGTCTGACTGTTTGGTCTTTTTTGTCAGAAGAGCTCACCTTCATATACTGGTAAATACTCGACCGCACAGTTTTCCAAAGCTGCGGTCGTGGCTCTTTCCCTGCAGTGAGAGTGAACGTCTCACTCTTTGCTGCTCTCTCCTCTCCTCGGCCTGCTCACTCTCGTCTGTCCCCGCACTAGGACCTGACTGCACTGGCCAAAGAGCTGCGAGCAGTGGAGGACGTGCGGCCGCCGCACAAGGTGACGGACTACTCCTCGTCCAGCGAGGAGTCGGGGACGACGGACGAGGAAGACGACGAAGTGGAGCAAGAAGGGGCCGGGGAGCCCATGTCCGGACCAGAGGACACCAGAGCAGCGTCAGTCCTGGGTGTATTAGATGGGAGAGCCTCACCGAGTCTGTCTGCCCCGGGGACAGGGGGTTCCCTGACGAGCGTGGAGCACGGCCAGCTGCCCGTGTGCGTGCATGCCAGTGCCTCTCCCCAGGCCCCCTGTGTAGTTCCTGTTTTCTTTTTAATTTGAAAGTCCGGTAAAAGGGAAATTTCTGATTGGTTTAATTATTTTAACCATAAGCATTCATTCTGATTTTTTTGCTCAAAAACAAATTGTGCCTGCAGGAACTTGTTTGTCGGCGGGAAAGTGCTAAGTATTTGCTTTCCTTAAGGAAATGGTCTACTTGTGGCCTGATCTCCTAATGACCTTGGGAAGTTGAGAGTGTAGACAGAATATCCTCAGCTGATGGTATTTATGGTCCTTCACCTCTGGATTTTTCTCAGTAGGTCATCTCTGAATTTGAGCAATGGGGAGACAGAATCCGTGAGAACCATGATTGTCCATGACGATGTGGAGAGTGAGCCAGCCATGACCCCGTCCAAGGAGGGCACGCTGATTGTCCGCCAGGTACCATGTCTCCACACACTTGTCAGGCTGAGCTTCTCTTGAGTCATTAACCCACTTGCTCATTCACTCCTCATGCTGTTTCTCCATCATCATCTGTTCTCATGTTAACGAGCCCCGAGGGCTGAGTGTCTGGGCCAGGGCGGCAGGTGTGAGCTGCGTGACAGGAGCGGGGCTGGCGGCGCCCCTGCATCGCTGCCTCTGCACGCCCCCCAGCAGCCTCAGCACCACCCAGAGTCTGTGTGTCTAGAGTAGGAAAGCCACAGGGCGGCCCTCAGGAGGCTGCGCGCCAGGGCCTCCCCGGGCCCTGCAGAGAGCATGTGAGCCGAGCCAGGCAGGAGGGCCCGTGCAGCAGCAGGTGGAAGTCGCTCTGTGTCCCAAATGCTCACTCCCTTTCCGCCAGCCATTAGTGCCCCGCCCAGATGCGCTCAGTTGGGTGACCGCCTTACAGCTGTCTGTCCGTTGCTTCGCTGAGCTGTGAGGTCAGGTGTCTGCTTCTCCTTTAAATACAACAGGCGCCTGCCCAGCACATTGACGTTTCCCTGAGTGTGTCTCGTGCTGTGGCACTGCATTCGGGTGGAAAAGATCAGGATTCAAAGAAGCAATGCGCACATTCTAGAGCTTTAGATAGAAAGGTTTAAAAAGAAAAGCCACTGCCTATGGTTTCGGTGATGGCAGCTAGGGTGGCAGGCTGAGCAAATGGGCACTGCTCAGTGCCGCCCGGGCAGGTGCCTCTGTGCTGCTGGCCCTGCCTGGGCGTCAGCAGGGAGGCGAGCAGCAGCCGCCCCGCCTCTCTGTGGAGAGGATCCGTCAGGAGTCACCGACCCCAGCAGAGGCAGTTGTCAGGGGCGCAGGCAGCTCCAGCGGCGCCTGAGCGAGACAAGTGTGCCTGTTTTTTCTACAGAGTACAGTTGACCAAAAGCGAGCCAGCCATCATGAGAGCAATGGCTTTGCCGGGCGCATTCACCTCTTGCCAGATCTCTTACAGCAAAGCCATTCCTCCTCCACTTCCTCCACCTCCTCCTCCCCATCTTCCAGCCAGCCGACACCCACCATGTCCCCACAGACACCCCAGGACAAGCTCACTGCTAATGAGGTAGGTCTTGCCCATGCTGGCTGCTCTCCTAGGTTAGACCTGCTGCCTGGTAGCGAGTGTGCAGAGCAGACCTCCCACGTCCCTCCCCTGCCTTCCCCAACCGCTTCCTTCTGTCACCTCCCTCCCTCCACCCCCAAGTAACATGGTTCAGATCTGCATACAAATCCCATAACGGACCAGTCTCCCCACTCCTGCAGCACACTTCCCTGGTCTTGCAGTCAGTGTAGCTGCATGGCTTTTTGTGTTCAGTTTACTTTCCAAAAGTCTAAATGAAGTGATTGCTGTGTTCTCAGAGCCATTATGTATTTGGCATGAAACTCTCAGGGTCATTTGTGGAATCCTTCCTTTTATCCAACGAAGAAAGCAGAGCAGTTGGTAAAGCAGACGTGGCCTCCTTGGACAAGCTGGCCGTCGGAGCGGGCGTGTCCTGCAAACAGGCTTTCTGCCGGGGAGGCACTGCTGATTGGTTTTCACCAACCCTCCAAAGACTTTTCCCTTTGAAATCCACAGTCACTCAGAGTTTAAGAAGAGGCCACATGTTTTTTGGGTAAACCTAAACACGTAGGGTTTTAAGCAGGAAGGTCTGAGTGTGCTTTTAATGTGAGGCCTGGAGTGGGCCTCGGGGCTTGGCTGTGGCACTTCGTCGGGTGCTGGGTGATCTTCGCTCTTAGGGACGGGTCACGCCCCCTCCCAGGCGGGAGCAGTGATGCAGTGTGCCGTGAGCACCTGTTACCGAACTGAATCGTGATGATTTTGATTTCTTGGGAGGTTAGATTTTAATGCATTTGTCTAAGAGTTGAAGGAGGTCAGAGGTGGCAGGTGGCTTCCGCCAGTCTTGTTGCTGGGAACCTCTACCTGCTGGCCCGCCTGCCTGCTTCCATTTTGGTTCCCTGTTAGAATTAGAATGGTCCTTTCCCCTGAGGAGCAGGGGCACGTTGACTGCTTCCCAGGCAGGCTCGGCAGAAGACTGGGCGGCGGCTGGGCTGGCCACTGGTCGTGGGACGGGGGCAGCTGGGAGCCGAGGAGGGCATTGGCTCCAGGACAGGCGATGAGCTGCCCGCGTGGGGAGACGGTGTGGGTGCCAGCCCTGGAGCAGACAGGTTCTGTGTCCTCTGCCTGCACACACATCCTCTTACAGTTGCATTTCAGTTTTGCTCCATTTTGCTCTACTGCACAGTATTTACTACACCCCTTAACCCACTAAACTGGCAAGTTTATTTTCTGTTTGTTTTGTTTTTAATTGCCATTACATTTTCACTTAACAATTTGTTTCACTCTCCTGTGTTTTTTCTCTGAAGTTACATTATTAACCACAGCCCCGGTGCTCCTCCAAGAGCAGGGCCGCGGCCCCTTGGTCGGCACCGCTCCCCCCTGGGCCTGGTGGTGCTCTGCTGGTGACCCATCTCGTGCGATCGCCAGTGCGCCTTGCTTCCTGGCAAGAGGCTCACTTTACAATAAGTCACATGAAGTTAGGATTTGCCAGGACTCCAGCATAGGTTAATTGGACTTTTTTGGACATGAAAGTAAATTCAAAAGTAGATGAAATGAGATCACGACATTTCCAACCTCCTTTAGGAGGTTTCATCATTATTACTTGTTTTAAACGACTAGGAGCTGGAAGTGTAGGTGGATTGGCAGCGTGCGGCGTTCTTGGCCTGTGCGCAGTGCTCAGGGAAGGGCCACACGTGCCGTGGAGTGTGCGCATGCAGGCCCCTCGGGCACTGCGGAGGGGGTGCGGGAGGACAGGCCTGGCTGGGGGAGCTGCGCGTTTTCGGGGTGGGTTGGGATGTTTTAATGTTTGCCTTTCTCATGTCATTGTATTAATAAAATTGAAATTTACATTGCAGACTCAGTCCGCTAGTAGCACACTCCAGAAACACAAATCCTCCTCCTCCTTTACACCTTTTATAGACCCCCGATTACTGCAGATCTCTCCATCTAGTGGCACCACAGTGACTTCCGTGGGTAAGTAAAGCGGCAGCAAGCAGCTGGCACCAGGACGCGGCCCTTTGCCTTGCTCTCTGGTGCCTCTAGCATACCCCTCCCGCTCGCACTGCCTTATTTGCAGTGAGCTGCGCAGTTAACCTCCTTTCCACATCCATCTCCTACAAGCTTCTTTTCCTGGACAAAGACTCAGTTATGGCCATGAATATTTCCTCTGGGAGGGGGGGAGGCAGGTACAGTGTTGGCATGAACAGAAAATAATTCCCAGTGTGCTGTGTTTCAGTGGGATTTTCCTGTGATGGAATGAGACCGGAAGCCATAAGGCAAGATCCTACCCGGAAGGGCTCAGTGGTCAATGTGAATCCTACCAACACTAGGCCACAGAGCGACACTCCGGAGATCCGCAAATACAAGAAGAGGTTTAACTCTGAGATCCTGTGTGCTGCCTTGTGGGGTAGGTAGCTTCCTGCCACTCGGGCCCTGTGCTGTCCCGAGCGGCGGTCTGGTCCTTCAGGGAAGGGAGTGGCGCGGTTGGGGGCTTTGAAGAGCTGCTCAGGGCGAGATGGTAGGTGCCTGTGGTCCCATCCCTGTGGCTGCCGGGCAGCAGGTGGTGCTGGGCTCGCTGCCACCTGTCCAGCCACCAGGGATTGGGAAGAAGGGCTCGTCTCCATTTCTTCATGGAAAGAAGCAAAGTGAAGGACAGGAAGACACTGGGTTTGGTTCATATTTGTGGGGAAAAGGGAGAAATGTGTCGAATTATTTTCTTCGGGTGTGTCACTGAGCTTGTTTTCCTTGCTGCCTGTGCCGTGGGCCTGACGCTTTAGAAGCAGGTGCCACTGGCAGGGCCCTGGCTGTGGGGTGCCTTCCCTGGCCTTTGCAGTGTAGGTGACTGCATGTAGACCTGCCGTGGGGAGGGCCGCACACAGACACTGCTCCACACTACCGCCCTCTCTGCTGTCCACTCTGCTTGCTGACCGGATCCTGGACTCCCCTGCTCCAGCCCCTCACTGGGCGTGTTCTCCCCGTAAACGCTATCTCTGCCGTCTTTAATAGGGACCCTGCTTCTCCTCGGGAAAGTTTCTTACTCCCTGGACATTGCCAGTACTTGCATGGGACACACGCAGCTCTCTCATTGGTGGAGCCCAGCACATTTTCCTCATGTACGTTCCTGGAGTGTCATCTGCGTTCTCCACAGGGGCTGGGCCAGCTCTCCTCACCCTGAGGCTGACATGAAGCCCCACTTTCACCTCTGACCCCCAGTGGTCCCTCGTCCCGTCTGTGAAGAAGGGCCCTGCATTCCTCCCGCCTGGCTCCTTCCTCACACACTCTCAGCCTCCTCTGGGGCTGGAAGGCTTGTCTCCTCTGCCCATTGCAGACACACCTGCTTTCTCTTTTATTTCTCTTTAAGTCTGAGATCTAGACTTGTGTCCTTGTCGCCACTGAGTGTTTTAAACCCCCTAATGACCACAAGGATGCTGCTTTAATACTGCTAGGCAAGGGAACAAGCCATTGGGTAATCAGGCTCAGGTGACCACAGCCCCGAGTGCCAAGGCCACTCCTGGGGCTGGGCCTTCCATCACCTCTGCACAGGCCATCGGGTTGCTCACGTCAGCAAACATGATTATGTTACGTCCAGTGCAAAAAGTGTTAAATATGTTCGTGTTTAGAAATTGTCATCATTTTTATCCATAATGCTTCTACACTAATTTTATATTCCTCTAATGTCCTGCCAAGTGCTGGGCCCCATTCTATGTGCCATTAACTTTTTCTTTTTTTTTTTTTAACTAAAATTCTTTTTCCTAATTAACTTCTTCAATACCTCTGAGAAAAATAGGAGTGACTTGAGCCAATGTTTTTAAAAGTGAAGTGGGACTTTCATTTATCACTGTGTGAGTAGAAAAGGCTGGGAGTGCCTTAGAGGGACACATGTCTGCGAGCCGCTGTGTTTGAGTTGCTCACAGCTGGGTCACCAGGGAGGCTGCCGTGACTGTGAAGGTCCAGTCGGCCTTGTAGAGGGCGGGCCGGACGGACCCAAGCACCTGGTAGGTGGACTCGGAGTGTTTCGCTGCAGCAGGAATCACAGCGTTTCTGTCCTGCTGGCCATTGTTGGGTGCCTTCGCTTTTTTGTACCTTCAGGGAAAATGTTTGCGAATAAATTGCTGCATATTTATTATATTTTTTAGTAAGGCAGTCTTCCCCTTCACAACCAGGATTATCTTAACGTGATTGTTTCCATCCTTACGTTCAGAATGAACTAGAGGCCTGGTTCATGAAATCCATGCACACACAGGTAATAGGGTCCCTAGGCCTGGCTGGTTCAGAACCAATTGGGGCCTTCCAGCTGCTGGCTGGTGCCTCCCTTCCCTGGCTGCAGGCTGCTGGCCTGGACCTTCCTTCATTCCGCGCTGTCCCCTGGTGGTCAGCACATGTCATAGCGAGTGATCGAACTCCTGGTCTCCCAGTCCAACTCCCAAGAGGACACTTTGCATATTAGCCTTTTATGTGTGTAGATTATCTGCAGCTAACTATGTAACATTGTACTCACCATGGAATTTAAAGGAAATTTAAATCACGTGTTATACAGCTCTCCCGGCAGCCTGTGCCAGGTTCCTCTGACTGCACTCACAGTTTCTAGCACCACACACCTCTGAACAGCTAGCAAACATTTAATTACCCAGCACCCAGAGGTTACTGCAGCATGTGACCTGTCTCCTAGGCCCCTCATCTCCCAGGCGTGGTCTCCCAGTGACTGGCGTGTCCCTTTGGCGCTGCCTTTCCACACTTGGCGCAGTGCCAGGAAGTGTGTGCTGGCAACATGGAAGGTGGGGAGTGAGGGCCAGCCCAGCTGCAGTTCTGTGTGTGAAAAGATATTTCAGCGTCATCTTTTATTTCTTACTGTAAGATTGTGATTGGTATTTGAATGCTATTTATTTTTGGAAACCACAAATAGTATATTTCACAAGGCTCATATTTCAGGTGGATATTACTAGATCTTTGATGTAGATGTTTTTAGGTACTTGATATTGACGGTTAACCAGGAAGGTGCTGGAATGTTGTGAAATGAAGTGAAGCCTTTGGAGCAGATCTGTCTGATAGCAGCTCTGTCGGTTAATGTTTTGTTTTATCTGCTGCAAATAAGTTTAAAGCTGCTTAGAATCACCTCACTTATGTGTGGAGGGAATCACTAAGAACAGCGTCCAAATGAGCTCTGCTTTGATCCTCTTTGATCCTCGGCAAAGCGGGCACCTCAGACGGGCGGGCTCCGGGGAGCGGGGCAGGCCGTCCGTCTCCTGTGCTAACCCGTGTCGGGCGGCCGCGGCGGCGGCAGTTCTTCCCCGCGGAGTCAGGCTGCGTCTGCTGCAGCACTGACCTTGTAAGAGCAGGGGCTGTGTGAGCCGGGAAAAGTGTCACCCCTGAGCTAGCTGAAAGCCAGACATTTCCTGGTTAATGGAGCCAGTGTCAGCCATGCCCGTGGCTGCTTAGGTTTCAGTGAATTCGTGGAGGAGCGTTTCCTCGGTTGGCCCAGACGCAGTCAGGTGCACAGTAGCCACCAGGGGCCGTTGGCTGACCTTGGACCTCACGTGGAAGGTGCCAGGCTGTTTAGATGGCACGTTCTGAAACCCCAGTCACAGGCGACAGAGAAGCCATGTGTACGTGTGGCCATTTCCGAATGTCGTACAGTTGGTGACGATTCTTGGTGGTTTTGTTTAATTGTAAGGGTCACTCAAGATGGGGAGTGACGACTCAGGTTTTCCTCTTTCTCCAAATCCCAGGGGCTCCCCTCCGGCTTTCTGAAGTGATTTCATGGTCTGTCAGGCTGACAGCTGTCACACGAGGCCACGCTAGACGGGGAATCCGTAGCCAGTGGGTTGTGGGCGGCGTGCTCCTGTACAGTGCACAAGGGAAGGGCGAGCTGTCCGTGCTTAGTGGTGGCAGTGGCGCTTTCACGGTCGTTGCACTGTCGTCAGAAGCTGGCACCCTGGTCTCTAGACTCAGGAGTTCGCCATGTGCTCTGCATTGAGGATTCAGAGGTCTGTGCCAGCGCTTCTGCGAGGCCTCAGAGTAGCTCCCCGGCGTGCCTCCCCCCTGGTGCTGTAGCCCCCTGCCTGCCTCCCTTCAACCCACCTGGGGCTGCAGTTCCTGTGTGCTGCCCTTCCCTGCTGCTGGAGTCGGTGCTGTGTTTAAGGAGTGGTGACAGCGAGGACCTGTATAAACTCCAGGTCCTGCTTTGCCTAGGCCCCAGTGCTCACAGGCTCCTCACTAGCTTTGCTGAGGTGGGGTTCCACCTGCTCATGTCAATCAGAGCCAGGAGCCTGCTGGGAGGGTGTGCAGACAGGGAGCCGGGAGCCTGCAGGGAGGGTGAGCAGACAGGGAGCTGGGAGGGTGAGCATAGAGCTGGGAGTCTGCTGGGAGGGTGAGCATGGAGCTGAGTCAGTGCACATCATAGCAACTGGTTGTTCCGTTGTTAGGGTCAATTTGCATATAACCCTTCTATATAGGAAGATATGTGTGTAACAAAATGTGGACCATGGGGTTCAAAAAATACATACTTTGTTCTGAATCATTTCATCTCCCTGGAAATGTTAATTGAGCAATTACTTCCTCAAAGCACAGACACTTTATTTCCTGTCTCAGTGATTTTATTTCCCAGTTTAGGGAATTAGTGCAAATGTGTGTGCCCAGGCCCCTAGGACCATAGGTGATCTCTGCTCCAAGTTCAAAGTTAGCTCAGACCAAGGAAGAACGTGCCCTTGGGGAAGGAGTGGGTGATAGAGAAGTAATTTGGCTCAGGGGCAGATTCCAAATGCTCAGCGAGGCTGTGGCGGCGGGTAGCTGACATGCAGTCTGGCTCGATGAGGACTTGGTGGGCAGTCCCGGAGAAGGGCAGGGGCGCTGTACCCCCAGGCATGGTCTTGGAGAAAACGGGCTGTGGCAGGGATGGAGATAGGAGTTAGTGGTTCAGAGGTGCTACTCCAGCAGCCGCACACAGGGCTGTGGAAATGAGGGGGTGGCTGCAGAGGCGAGGGGTGGGGGGAGTAGGGGCTGAGGGCAGGTGCAGCTTCTCTCTTGGTGATGACGGGGTTGTCTGTAAGAGCAGCGGTCACCAGCCTTTCGGACCTCACGGGCCACCGGTTGGCTGCACTGTGGAAGAGAACCTTGGCCTGACGGTAGTCAGACCACCAAAGGGCTGTGTGCGGCCCTTTCTGTGGAAATGGCGGCAGAGAAGGCAGTGTGCGGTCAGGAAGTGAGACGAAGGCTGCTCAGTGTCTAGTGTGGCGAGTGAGCTCTCATACCGAGGAGGTGTGAGCCCGAGCCAGCCTGGGGAGCACAGAGCTGGTGGGTGTGGAGAGCGGGTGTGGTTCGCTCACTTCCCCCCCACATCCTTTCTCCATCTGAGGAAGTATGTCCCCCTCACCTGACTGCTTACCTGTGACTGTGGCGCCATTCCTTTCTGGGGTGAGTTAGGAAATCACCCCACCAGCCAGGTAGCTCCCTCTGCCCCCAGCCTGCCTGCCAGCACAGTGTAACCCAGGCCTGTCTGTCCTTGAAACAGGAGTGAATTTGTTGGTGGGGACAGAAAGTGGCCTGATGCTGCTGGACAGAAGTGGCCAAGGGAAGGTATATCCTCTGATCAACCGAAGACGATTTCAGCAAATGGATGTCCTCGAAGGCTTGAATGTTTTGGTGACAATATCTGGTAAGTATCTGCTCAGTAGAGCAGGATTATAGCACTGTCTAAAACAGCACCTCCTAGCACTGACCTTCAGCTACTTCAGTTTCTGAAGTAATGGCTAAATGAAATGAGATACAGCTGGATCAGGTGTAACCCGCTTGCACACCCTATCCCTGGGTGCACCCTACACCCAGGTGCACTCCAACCCCGGGTGCACCCTAACGCTGTTCCTCTGAGGAGCAGCCTTGGGAAGCCCGGGTGCCCCGGCGTGGACACCACCACGATCCACACTGCCCTGTGGCTGCTGTGCCGCTTCCTCCCATGCTCCTGGTCATGCAAAGGCACTGCTCCTGCCGCAATCGTAAAAGTTTTCTTCCACCAGTGAGCACCATACGTTTCTTCTCAGGAAGAGCAGCTTTTTTAGTATAAATTATGTAGTAAATGCTCATTATTGAAAGTGACAAATGCTGCAGAAAAGCAAGTAGAAGTAAAACCTGAAATCGTCTAAAGATAAGGTGTATTAACCTTTCACTTTTTATCTTCCAGTCTTTTAAACATAGACACACTCAAAATACACACTTACGGGGGGAAATCTGCATAAAAATGGTTATGCAATGTTTCAAAACATCCGGAGAATAAAAACGAGAAAATAGGTCGCCCATATACTGACTAGCTGGTTTTATTAGAAGTTACAACACACTATGGTCCATGCAGTTGGCATGCCCTCTGCCTCCCACCTCCCTCAGGAACCACTGTCCTGTGTGCCCTCCATTCCTGTGTCTAAACCTTGCAGCCTGCTCCTCCCGTCATTGGACATTCTCCCATGATCCCGTGTCACAGACCCCGTGCTTCTCTGCTCAGCTGTGCTAACATTCACTCGCCTTGTTGTACGTCTTTCTGTTCACTCCTCCCCCTTACGTATTCGTGTTTCACAAATGTCTTTGTAGCTTGCTTATCCATGGGCATGCATACTCATGTTTCATAGATTGTGATTTCCTAATAACTTGTATATTAGTGCTGGGACCAAAGAGGATGCAAAATTATGACTTTAAGTAGGTCTTAGTTTGGTTTAGTTATCTGCTAACTGAATCTTGTGTTTGTTTATATGTAACAAATTTCTTGCAGTTATTTTAGATTTCAAATAGGCTTTTGGTTGTAAGTAAAGGTATTTGTTGAAATGCAAAAATGTCACCAGCCCACTTAACTGAGAAAACAGTCATTTAAAACTTGAGTGTTACTGGAGAGTGGGTTCTGAAACGGGAGAAAAGTAATCTGCAGGGAGAAGCCTCAAAAACAGGAACACTTAGCGAAAACGTTACTCCAGTCTTTGGCATAGCTGTTGTTAGCGTTTTATTGTATTTTCCTCTCTTTTCTATAAATATATCTCACAATATGGGAATAAAACTCTACATAAACTATGTAGTCTTTGTTTCACCGTAGTCAATATTCTCCCAAATTCTTCAAAATTTAAAAAGTATGAGACATAGCATAGAAAGTCCATAGGTGCTGAGTCTGAGCTCAGTGATGGTCAGTGAGAGCCCACGCAGCCCGCATTGGTGGAGGGTCAGCCCGTGCTCCCAGATGCTCCCTCATGCTGCCTGCAAGGCACAGACGGAAACACGCTCCTGACTTTAACACCTTCCATTGCTTTTGCTTTCATTGACCTGAAGTCACATTAATGGTAAAGTCATAAGTCTAACCCCGGGGACTGTGTCTGGCTACTTTAAGTATGTAGTTTCTATTGGGGTGCACTCTTGGTGTTGTGCGTTCTGTGGGTTCTGACAAATATATAATTACCCACCATGACAGTGTCATACAGACTATTCTCATTGCCCTGAGAATCCTCTGGGCTCCACCTACTCGCTCCTCTGTCCACGCCCCTCTGTCCACGCCCCTGCAACAGCAGATCTTTCTCACTATCTCTCCATGGCGACGTTTGCCCTTTCAGAATGTTAGAGTTGGAATCACAGCATGTAGCCTTTCAAATTACTTAGTTTCAAATTTCCAACTGCTTTTGCAAGTGTATAGGAAAGAAGTTGACTTTAAAAACAAAACATTTTTATTGATTTTAGAGAGAGGGAGAGGGAAGGGGGAGAGAGAGAAACAGCAATCAGCTGTCTCCTGCATGCCCCCACCAAGGATTGAGCCCGCAAGCCAGGTATGTGCCCTGACAGGGAATCCAGCTGGTGACCTCTCTGTACATGGGCCAACACTTCAAGCAACTGAGCCACTGGGCAGGGCTTGCCTGGATTTTTATCATGAGACGGTGCTGGTTTTGTCCAATGCTTTTGTGTTTTGAATGGTTTATAGCTGTATTTGTTCCTCTTTATTCCTGTGGATGGCACGTCACACTCCTGCTGTTGATAGACGCTCGTGTTGTTTCCTCTGTGGGGCTGTTAGAAACAATGTTCATGTATGTGGGAGCTCCTATACACACATGTATATTAGGAGAGAAATTCCTGGATCATAGCAAGGTATACATATATCCTACCTGAATAGAATAGATAGCACCAAGCTTATCCGAGTGGTTCTCCCAAATGTCAGTGCTAGTTATTGAAGTTCCTAGTTATCCCACGTCGCCTGCTTTTAGCATTATTGCTCTTGTTAGTTCCAGACACGGATAGGTGTATGACACGGTGCCTCATTGTCTCATGTCATTCACTATTGACTTTGAGAGCAGTGCCTGTGTGTGTCTGTGAGATAACTTGTAGCTCATCTGCTGCCGTGATTCTCATAGGGAGATAATAGTTATTGTTTCCTGAAGTTTCTTCTGTGACTGTTGTTATTGATGATGATATCTACTTTGTTTTGCTAGGCAAGAAGGATAAGTTACGTGTCTACTATTTGTCCTGGTTGAGGAACAAAATCCTTCACAACGACCCGGAGGTGGAGAAGAAACAGGGGTGGACCACCGTGGGAGATCTGGAAGGATGTGTGCACTATAAAGTGGGTGAGTCGCTGCGGCCCGGCTTGTTTTCCTGGGTTTCGTTAGTGCTGCACTTACCATCCTGTGCGTAAAGCCCTGGCAGTAACCTTCCTGACACAGCTCACTCCTGTGATGTTTGTAAGGCCCCTCCCTGTCCTGGAGGCTCGGCTGGCTGCAGGTGCACCTGGAGCAGGACACACTGTCCCCCTGCCACCTAGCTCGTCTGTGGCAGGGCCTCCACCCTTCCTCGTTGACAGGCCACGCTCTCCTCTGTAAGATGGGGTTCAAATGATCTAAGGAAGCCGGTCGATTTGGAGGACTGAGGGCCAAGGACTCCGGGTCCCGGGCACCTGGTGGGGCCTGCACAAGGTTGCCAAGGGCCGTGCTTGGCATTTAGAATGGAGTCCACTGTGCAGGCTCCTGCGCTCTTAAAGAGGAAATGAATCTGGCCAGCCAGTCCGTGTCTCATGGCAACTCTGCTTTTTCTTTTTAGTGTGCATGCTGTGGTTCCCATGAATGACACCTCAAAAACAAAACAAAAAGCTGTTTTCTTTGTGTATTAAAAAAATCAAAATGCCATTATAAATATTGGAAATAAGGGGAAATCATGGTGCTTAGTTGAATTGAAGCTTTATGGGAGAGATGATCTACTATACTATTTGAAGGGGCAGCATGAAAAGATCAAGTGTCTATGTCCCCGTTGTTATCAGCATAAGGGCCTGCTAGCATTGGCCTCTGCCTCTGCGTTTCCTCTGGTTCCGTGTTTATGAAGCGCATGCTGAGGGCAGTTCTCTGCTGCCAGGATGCACTGTTGTTGGCATTGTCTTCTTGCTTACATGAGCTGTCCACAGACCGTAGTCCTTGGCCAACGATGGGCATGGCACTCGCCAGCATTAGAACGCTTCTGAGTGATACCAAACAGTACTGGTGTCTGCTTGGCACAGATCTTGGATTAGGATTTTCTGGGTTGTGTTTATGTGGAACATTTTTATTTGTTGAGGCGTAGTAACTAAACACATCTAAGTCTAAACTTAATGAGACAGCTCCAAGAGCTGAAATGTTTATGATAGACAGTCCTGCATTGGGTGCTCGAGGTGGCCGTGTGGAGGGAATGGGTTTTCAAAACAAGCAGAGCCCTCTTGTGGCTCATTCCCATGGCACCTCAAGCAGCTTCTGGAGATGAGGATGCAGGTGCGTCACTTACTATATGGTGGAAGATGGAATTGAACAGGGAGAGGCACCGGTTAGCAGGCCTGTCTCTTGTGCAAAGGAAGAGGCCCTTTACAAGGGCCTGCGGTCTGCCCAGGCCAGTGCACGCCTGTGTTCAGGCCCTCGGTGTTTGTCAGCCGAGTCACCCACAGGGTGAAACAGCGGGTACGGGCATTTGGAGTGTGTGTACAGGACCTTCTCTTCCTGTGTGTAGATCACTGAAGAGACAGTTTCTTTATTCACTCCGCTCTTGAACAGAGCTTTAGCGGGAGCCCAGCACTCGCTGCCTCTCCGGGGTAGACGTGACTGGGTCTCACACAAACAAGAGGACCCAGCCTCCGCCAGCAGGTGTTTGGTTTCAGACTCCTGTGCCTTGTGGAAGCGCCTGGAGGACCCGGGAAGCACAGGAGGCTTCGGCCTCGTGCTGTGATTTGGGGATTCTTACTGATTAGTCTCATCACTGTCCTTTTCAAGTGCTACTGGGCCCTTGACTTTGGGGGGATACGCCTGGCAACTCCCGGATAATTAAATATTTGCACTATAAGATTAGGAGCAAGAGAGAGTACTCAATGGTAGTAACCAGCGAATTGAACAGCCTGAATCCTGCACCAAAGAACTTGAAACTGTGAGGCTTGATCTCACTCAGCATTTTCCTCCTGTTGGTTTGGGTGAACCAAAAGAAGTCATCTTTATTTAGTTTGTAGAAGACAGCCCAAAGAATTTAGAGTTCCATGTTGATACTGACCTGTGTTCCCGTTTGGTTTTTCAGTAAAATATGAAAGAATCAAGTTTCTCGTAATTGCTTTGAAGAGTTCGGTGGAAGTTTATGCGTGGGCACCCAAGCCATACCACAAGTTCATGGCCTTTAAGGTAACAACATCGAGTGCACTGAAAAGTGACATTAGTCATGCATGCTACGAGCACAAGCCAGGAAACAAGTTTAAAAACCGGGGACAGTTAAAGCCGATCTCGTGAACGCTTTCACTAACAGTGTCTAACTTTCCGGGAGCAGCCGTCTCTGCTCTCCTGCCCCAGCATGGGTGGTCACCCTGCCCATGTGGCAGCGGGATCGGCAGAGGCACACCGCCTCACTGACTCTCCTCTGTCCTCAGGGATGTGTCTAATGTAGATAACAAAACAGTACCCAGTGACAGACAGCTTTACGGTGTATCTGTTCAATAGAGGACTGGTTAAAAACTGTTGCAGTCCTAGTCGGGGGCTCAGTGGTTAGAGGTCACCCCAAGAATTGAAGGGTCCCAGGTTCACTCTGGCCAAGGGTACATACCTCGGTTGTAGGCTTGATCCCCTACCCCAAAGGAGGTGCGTGTGGGAGGCAACCAATCCATGTGTTTCTCTCTTTGTATCTCTCTTCTCTCCTTTCTACTCTCTAAAAAAACTCAATGGGAAAAATATGCTTGTGTGGGGATTAACAAGAATTTTTAAAATAAATTAATAAAATTAAGTTACAGAAATTATTATTGACACCAGGAATGAATAATATAATATTATATTCTAAATAGGAAAGTAGATTAAAATATGTATAATATACCATTTTTGTTTAAAGAAAAAAATGTAGAAAAGTATTTTTGATATTTTAAAAATAATTTTAGAATTTGTACTAGATATAAATTTACGAAATTTTTAATTAAAATAATAGTACTATGACATTAAATATTGTAAATACATAACTTAACACATTGAGAACAGATCACAAGAATTCTCGCTTCACATTACACAGTGTTTTACGAAGTATCATCCTTTAAAAAGATATTAGCTTGTAAGAACATGAAATAAATAACTTCAAGATGCAATGGGTATTTAATTTTAAAGCGTGCCTTTAACATTTATGTAAAAAAAAAAAAATGTACTCATTCAGTAGAAACTTATCTGACCGCTGGGTGAAGCTAGCAATAAAACTACTGGTCCACAATGTGTTAATAACATCATTTCTAATATTAGACACAAAACCTTAAGCATGGCCTCTGTGTCTATTTAGTGTAGGGTGAGAATTTAAGAATTTTTCATCCAAAATGATTCTATTTACTTATTTAAAAAAATAGTTTCGACATATTTAGATTGCTTAATGCTTGATTCCCAGTAGAGCTGGCTAATTGGGATTATCATATTTGCTTAAAAAATAAATCTACAGCCCTAAATGGTTTGGTTTAGTAGATAGTGTGTCAGCCTGTGGACTAAAGAGTACCGAGTTCGATTCCTGTTAAGGGCACATGCCCAGGTTGTGGGCTCATTCCCCAGTAGGGGGCAGGAGCCAGCAGATCAATGATTTTCATCATTGATGTTTCTATCTCTCTCCCTTCCTCTCTGAAATCAATAAAAGTATTTTTTAAATAAATAAATCTACATATTATTTAATGAAAGTAATTGTTATGAAATTATAATCATTTGAGATCGGCTCTGAATATATTCTCTGTGTTACAGGTGCTGTACTAGTTGCTTTGAGTATCTTATTTAAATCTGTCTTGGGAGCTGTAGGTACTGATATCAATGAAGAGCTAGGCCTCCAGGCCATGTGTTAGAGCCTTTTGTCACTACACCCCTGGTTAGAGGCGCAAGTCGCAGTCCTGGCAAAGCCTCTGCTCTGGCAGCGTGCTCTGCCCAGGACCCGTTAGACAGCTGAGGGTGTGCTGCAGGCCTGGCTCTCCCTCCGCGGCGCTGTGACAGCAGAGCTCTCGGACGGGGGCGGGGAGTGTGGGACGTGGCTTCCGGGAGACCTGTTTTCTAGGTTTTCATCACAGACACAGCCTGTTGAGTGAGAGGCTGTTGGGGGAGCGTGTGCTCCGGCCGTGCCGGTGGCTCGGCGCTGCAGGGCGGCCTCTGTGCCTCACGCTCCTCCGCCTGTTTGTGCCGCAGTCGTTCGCGGACCTGGCGCACCGGCCGCTGCTGGTGGACCTCACGGTGGAGGAGGGCCAGAGGCTGAAGGTGATCTACGGGTCCTCCGCCGGCTTCCACGCCGTGGACGTGGATTCGGGATCCGTCTACGACATTTATCTGCCGACACACGTAAGAAAGCCCACTCTGTGGTTGGCTGGCTGCTTCGTTCTGTCCTGACTCTCTTTACTCTGCTTAGTCAGCTCACAGCAGGGACCCCTCCTTCCCTGGCGTGGGGGTGAGTATTCAGTGGCGCGCCCTGTCGCAGCCCGTGCTCGGGGCACGGCGTGCCCGGCTCTGCAGCCCTGTGTGACGAGCAGTGGGCGGGCGGGGGCAGGCGCTGGTAGTCAGAACACCCCTGGAAGGACCGTAATTTCTTAAATGGAGCCCACAATCTTCATGTGATCCAGGGACCTCAGAACACAGGAACTCACAGAATTTGACCTGGAAAAGTAGACTGGGATAGAAGTTGCAGGGGTTTCCCCAAATGTGACCCCGTTACTGGGTTTGTCACCAGGAGTGTGAGCCCGTGTGTTCTCGAGACAGCTTCCGAGCCCTTCCGCAGGGACGGCAGTGGCCACGACCCTCTGCCCTGTGTCCCCGCAGATCCAGTGCAGCATCAAGCCCCACGCGATCATCATCCTGCCCAACACCGACGGCATGGAGCTGCTGGTGTGCTACGAGGACGAGGGCGTCTACGTGAACACTTACGGCCGCATCACCAAGGACGTGGTGCTGCAGTGGGGCGAGATGCCCACCTCCGTCGGTGCGTGCCTGCCCGGGCGGCAGCAGTCGTGGGAGTAGCGAGTTCTTGGGAGCTGCGTGTGTTTGTCAGCAGAGTGGTTGGTGTGCACAGTGGGAGTTAGACTGTAGACCAGGGGACTGCTATAAGACAAAATCCAAATAATTACTTAACACACTTTAAAGCTCTTGTTGACAGTCCTTCATTTCATTCTTAAGCCATCCAGCGGAAGTGGGCCGTGCTGGCCGACTGGGAAGAGGGGAGGCAGGCGGAGTGCTGGCCCGGCCTGGGGCCGAGACGCGCCGGGAGCACGGCCTCTGTTCCCGGAACGTTCACGCCGAGGCAGGGGCAGGCGCTGGCCTTCTCGTGGTTTTCAGGCTCAGACTGCTGGGCTTTGCTGCCGTGGAGGCACTGCCTCCTCCGCAGCCAGGCCTCGGCTGCCTCCTCGGGCGGGTCAGTGGAAAGGCAGCATTAGGCCATCACCTCGTGGTCCTCCTCAAGCCTCAGGACAGACTTAAGGAGACGAATAGATTCAACCAGCGAGTCAAATGACAGCTCCCAGGATAGGCCGCGAGCTGGCAGAGCAGAGCTCCTGACAGCAAAGCCCTTAAATGCTGGTCGGTTAGGAGCTCGTGCGTGTGTGCATGCGCGTGCACGTGTTCCATAAGCAGCCTCTTTTAAGGCTAGTTCCTCATGTTTAACCAGATGTGTCTTTGCCTCCAAAGCTTACATCCGGTCCAACCAGACGATGGGCTGGGGCGAGAAGGCCATCGAGATCCGGTCTGTGGAGACCGGCCACCTGGACGGCGTGTTCATGCACAAGAGGGCTCAGAGGCTGAAATTCCTGTGTGAGCGCAACGACAAGGTGCGCTCGCCACGGCCTTCGCTGGGCCGCCCCCGGTCCCGAGCTCTCCCTGGGTCTAGATAGGTTCCCACGCAGGGGCATCAGGAGCTTTTCCGGAGTGCATTTGTAGACACGTTTACAAGCCCCTCCCACAGAGCCTGCCTTTCCCACAGCTGGCCACGTCCTGTCTTCCGCTGTCCTGTCGCCCAGGGCGCCTCCCCGACCGGCTTCGGGACGGGCGGTCACGGCCAGGGTGTGGGACAGCAAGGCAGGGGGCCTCCCCAAGCCAGCCTTCTCTGCTGCTCACTCTGCTCACTCGGAAAGCATGCGGCAGCCTGTGCTGGCTTCTGAGGGGAAGGGGAGTTCGGAGTGACAGGAGCTGTGGGCCCTCAGCAGCCCTGCAACCTGAAGGGCCATCCCCCAAGCGTTTCCCTGGAGAGCCCGCAAGGCTCGGGCCCCGGACTGCCCAGCTTTCTGGCTTGTGTGTCCACATGTGTTTACTGTGGCTGTAAGTTTAAGCTTCTTTAACTTCCATTAAACAGTTTCATCACTCATGACGGCATGTCCTCAAAGTTTTATAAAAGGCACAAACTGAGTAACTTTTATAGTCATGAAATAACAAGTACATTTCAGCTTAATTTTTTAAAAGAGAAAAACAGCTTGCTGAGGAATCCTCCCCAGTTGTCCATGGAGTTTTCTTTATGTTTAATCACGCATGAGCGTTTATTCCAATAATGCCAGTACCAGGGCCTCCAGGAAAATCTGCTCTACTCCCTCCCGGAGCAGCCACTCATGTTGGTGGAAGGACAGATTACGTGGGGAAGTGGGTGTCACAGGCACGGGCGGTGGGCAGGGCATGGGTTACAGGCCAGGCAGCTGGGGGTCGGAAGGGCAGGTGCTTCCGGGACTGGGCTGTTTTAGCAACAAGGACAGCATTTCTCGGGAAAGGGGGTGGGCGGCCTGCATTCCGAGGTTCCCTGCAGTGTCCGGCGCACGGCTCTCAGCCAGGCTGGCCAGTGTTCCTCCCCCTCCTCCTCCTCCTCCTCCTCCTCACTGAGGGACTCCAGGCATGCAGGGAGCCCCTGAATCCCACCAGCCTCCGTTCTCCACGGGGCCACGCCCGTGCTGCTCCCGGCAGCTCGGAGATGGTACCCACCCGGAGCTTCCTGAGCTCGGGGTCTTTGGAGGCGTGCCCGTGGCGGTGAAGAAACAGCCCAGTTTCAGGAGCACCCTTCTTCCTTTGGACGTGCTCACAGTCTGGCTGCACAGGAGTCGTTTCTCGTTGTGGCACGCGTTGTGAATGAGACATGGCGTTCTCCCAGCTTTCCACAGAAGAGCTCTGGGTCCCCCTCCCGGGGCGGCCGGCGGGCTCTGCTCTGACCCCTCCTCTCTCGCTCACAGGTGTTCTTTGCTTCCGTGCGGTCGGGCGGCAGCAGCCAGGTCTACTTCATGACGTTGGGCAGGACCTCCCTCCTGAGCTGGTAGAGCCACGGCCGGTGCCGCCGGCTTCAGACGAGGGCTCGGCAGCGCGGCCGGAGCCGCGTGCCCAGCAGCAGGACGCCGGCAGCAGGACCGGACCCTGCGCGGACCCGCGGCCCTCCTTCCTGCTCTCCCTGCCAGTTTGTCCCCAACCTTTCTAAACGTTTTTCTTTAAAAATAAATCAGGCTGCAATGCAGCTGGTGCTGTTCAGACTCTACCGTCAGGTGCTATAGTGTTTGGGATCGAGCATCAGACAGACCAGAAAGCAGACACCGTCCTCCAGCCAGAAGCCTCGGAGTGACTGCGCGTCTGTGGCGCCGGGCGGGCACGGTGGCCGGTGGGGTCTCAGTGAGCAGGTTGCAGAGGCGAGAGCGCATTTGCTAGCGTAACATTAACAATGTATTTAATTGACCTTTCTTTTTGTAATGTGACAATATGTGGACAAAGAGGAAGGGGCAGGTGTAAGAAGTTAATATTTATAAAATGTGAAGACAGTGACTAGGTAACTTTTGTGGGTGGGTCTGGGGAGGCGGGGGGGTGGGTGAAGGGTCCCATTTTGTTTCTTGCATAATTTGTTGGTTTCGCCGAGAGCGCGGTCATTTCTCTGTGCCAGGTTTTGCCTGTATCGTGTGCAGGTGGTTCTGGAGAAGAAAAAGGAAACGTGTGCTTCCGTGCCGTGGCCAGAACTTCGCTGCGTGACGGTCAGCGCTGCCTCCGCTGACGGCTGGTTCTGTTAAACCCAGATGTGTGTCAGGCTTTACCCCGTCTGCACTTGCAGAGGAAAAAAATGTTTTCAACCACGTTTGTTTGTTTTCCTACCTCATTGTTTTTAATGCATTAAGAGGTGGTTTAGTTTCTATGGTCTTGGAGGAAAACATTAATGCTTAACTTAATCTTGACACCAAACGATCAGGGTGAAGTCTGGCCGCGTGTGGGCACAGGGGTCGGCAGGCACCGCGCTCGTGGTGGGCCGCTGTCCCCGGACCAGCGCCCCGCCCTGTGCAGGCGGGCGGGCAGCCGACGGGCATCGGCTGAGCGGGCACACCGACTGTCCGGGCTGCAGGGCCTCTGGCTGGGGCTCAGCCGCCTGAGGCGCCGGGCGCCGGCCCGCCTCGGGAGCGTGGAAATCCTGCCGTGCCGTGCGTGAACGCGGCGTCCCGGGCTCCCGGCACATGGCAGAGCCCGGCTTCTGCTCTCTCACCCTCTGTTCTGTGTCTTTTAAACCAACTTCACTTCATGAACATGCTCATGGCATTTGTGATAATGTCTTGGGTAATCTTTTGTTCCTGGCTTCCTGTCACTGTTCCTCTGAGGGTGTCAGCGGGAAAGAGCCACGCTCGGCCGTGGCCGGGCGCCGTGCTGCCAGGCTGCAGAGCTAACCCACGACACTCGGGTTTGAGTTGAACAGAATTGAATTCGTTGCTGGGCCTTGGGTGCCAGCTCAGCTGGCCACTGGTCCCTGCGGGTGGGTTGGTATGTACGCTCCGCGGCTGTGGGGTCACCGCCAGGGCCTTGTCAGTCAGACTTGCTACAGCTTGAAGCAGGTGCCCAATTGGGTTTTTCCATAAAAGATTGTGAACTGTTAGAATTGCATTCTTCTAGAGAAGGGATGATTTTGTTCCTTTAAAGGGTGATTCACAGAAGTGCCAAGATGGCGGAATTACAAAGGAAAGCAGTATTATGGCGCTCCCGTCAAATGGGGGGCCCGACGCGGGTGCGGAGCCTGCACACCAGCGCCCGCCGGGCCGGCCTGCGCGGGTCGGCTCCGCATGCGGGCGGTGCTCCCTCCGTTCTCGCACACATTGTGTTGGAGAGGATGTTTACAAAAAGGGGTTTGCTACACTAACGTGCATCACATATTTATGGGTTATTTTTAATTGACTTTTTTAATGGGTTATTTAGGTTTTTGCACTAGTTATAGTTCACTCTTGGATCCATGATCCCTAATTTTGCCAGTTATCAGTGTGCTGACCGGCCACAGCGGATTCGCCAGCCGCACAGCTGCACGGCGGGCCGGGCGCAGCCTTCTCTTCCGTGCTAACTTCTGTGAATTATGAGAATTACTGTTGTTCCCCGTTTTTTCTATTAAATAAAGTAAAAATGACACCTGTTTTCAAATGTACTCTGTTCTTTCGGAATGTTCTCTTCCCGTAAGGACCCATATTTAATGCGCACCTTCCCCCACCGCCCGCGCACAGCAGGCTGCCCAGGGTCCCGGCAGGGGCTGGGGAGTCCCAAACGTTTGTTCAAAGATCCGGAATGAAATTGGTCGTGAGCTCTCAAGCACCACATTTTTAAATACAAGGAGTGAAGCTGGTCCTTCAGGAAAGAATGGTTCTGCTTTGCAAGTCTTAGTTGGGTCAGAAAGTAGGAGAGCTCGTTGTCTGCTTCTGCCAGGGCGGTTTCAGCAGCCCTTTCTCCTGGGGCGCGGCCATAACGACGCGTCGAACACGGCTGGCTCCTGGGCGTCAGGTAGCTGCTGGCTGTGCCTGGCGGTCCTGGGTCAGCAGGAATGACCCCGGATGCGTCCGGGCCCTGCCCTTGCCTTCCACACTTTGCCCAAGTCTTGGGGTTAGACAGGTCACACGCTGTTATCTTTAAATGTTAATAAGCCAGCTCCTTTGCACTTCATCCTAGACATGTTATTTCTGGGAGCTGAAAATAAAACTAGCTAGGCCACATGAGTATGGGTTTTCTTTTCTGCTGGGTGTGTTGCAGCTGGTGATGGTTAACTCCGGTGCTTGCTGGTGGTGGGCACGGTTCCTGCTGGGCCCACTCCGGCATTGGCTGAGAGCCACCTGCAGGAAGCGGCAGACAGGCGGCCCAGCACTGACCCCAGCGCCATTGGTGTCACCTGGAAGTGGAGCAGCATTCTGTCTCTGCTGCCTCAGACCACTGTCCCCACAGCCTGGGCCCGTTGCTGCGCCCTTGTGAAGGCCTTTGATTCCAAGTCTTCCTCCCGGTTTGCTCAGAACAGGAAATTTGCTTTTTTTGTTGTTGTTTTGTTTTATTTTTTAATTTTTTAAATTTCTTTATTGATTAAGGTATCACATATTTGTCCTCATCCCCCTATTCCCATCCCAAACCCCTCCCCTCATATGCCCACCCCCTGTTGTCCATGACCACTGGTTAGGCTTATATGCATACACACAAGTCCTTTGGTTGATCTCTCCCCTTTTCCCCCACCCTTCTCTACCTTCCCTCTGAGGTGTGACAGTCTGATTGATGCTTCCCTGTCTCTGGGTCTGTTTTTATTCATCAGTTTATGTTGTTCATTATTTCCCCTAGATGCGTGAGATCATGTGATACAAGTAATACACTTATAAGACCCAAAAATGAGACAAGCCATAATGGTTATGCTGGGAGGCAAATGAATCAGTCTGTAGAGAGTTTCTTTCTGGGCCAATAGTTCTTTTGAGTCCCAATTTCAATGTCAAACAGTTCCTTATGTGTTCATGTCAGCAACAATATTTCATTTCTGGATGGTGGACAAATGGTGGTAATGCAGGACCGATCCTCTCTGGTTTGGTCCTGGGCAACCTGCAGTGACACACAGCTGCTGACTGCTAGTATGGCAAGGCGTCGTCAGCGTCTTCCATCTTTGGACTGTTTCTCTTCTGTCTGTATGGCTGGAGCACTCCTGTCAATTCCTCTCTGTTGCAGGAATCCATATGGTCTTGGAATTGTTTTCTGAAAATATACCAACGTATTCTCCACTAAAAGTTAATAAAGGAATCTTTTCTATATAATTGATTTGAGATCCTTTTTATTTTGCCCAAACGATTTTTCTTTGTCTTATTTAGACACCATGTGTGTTTTTCATGGGTATCTTGCTGTTACCATTACAAATGAAAAATTAATTTTCTAAATTTTCTAAAGTAACTTACAGGATATTTTTCCTTACATGATATTCTTCTACTATCCCCCTCCCCTTTTTTAATTTACATATTCGGAGGCTTTTGGAAATTTTATAATGTAGTCTTGATAGCTTTTAAATTTTAATTTTTTGCACTAAAATATGACTGCTATAGGTTCATTACATATTATGTAATTTTACCATGAGATGAACTACCAATAAAAATTTTAGTTAACACTTTAGGAACAGCTTTTTGTCCAGTATAATTAATTTTTCTAGAATATTCACTTATTTCAATTAGCCAATTTAAGTTAGTCTGAAAACTTGACTACTATTTTACTGTCAAATGCAATACTCTAACAACAATCTTATTTTACCCTATAAATATTAGTGGAAAGGATTATTTGCCTTCTTGAGTAGGCCCTGAGCATTCCTGGTGGTAGGTTGGATTTAGGTATTAAAAGCCCACTTCTCCACACCATGAGTACAAGAAAAACAAGTCTTGTTGCAGTGAGAAATTTGAATGTGATGATCCAGCTTATAAAATTCTCACCCCTGGTTTGGTCTAAGTCATAAAATGCTGAGCGTGCCGACAGAGGCTCTGGGGGGGACCTGCATCAAGTTTGGACAAGCTCTTCCACTCCTTAAACTTGTGTGGAAGTTGTACATAACTACAAACCTCAGAAGCCAATGTTCAGCAACTGTTTTGGTGACAAATGATACTAAATTCTTTTAATAGCTTTATTGAGATCTAATTTGCATACCATACAGTTCATCCATTTAAAGTATTGATAGTTTAGTGGCCTTGAGTTGTTTTTATTATCCCAAGAAGTCTTCCACACCCATTTGCCATTATCCCCTTATCTCCCCACTTCCCATCCTAGTAACTAAGCAACCACTAGTCTTTCTCTCAAAAGGGACCTGCCTCTGGGCATCTCCTGTGGTGGGAGTCACACTGTGCACCTGGTGACTGGCGAGTTGGTTTGTGACGGGTTCACCAGTGCTGTGGATGGCCTAGCACTTATTTCTTTGCATGGCCATCCTTGGTCCGAACCTCGGTCCCTGCCGCCCTCCTTCAGCCTCAGGACCAGCCACTCTCGGCATCCAGGTCCCAGCCTCAGATGGAAGCCAGGAAGTTGACCTTTGGAGAATGAGCAATTGCAGAGCCGGCTTCCTGCTGAGAGGTGTTCCAGTCTGAGCTTAGCAACTCCACGGTTCCCCTCCTCCCAAGAGGTGGGTGCTAAACACGGGGCTCATTCCAGGTCAGGGGTGGGGGTCCAGCTTTGAATGGGACTGTTCCGGAAGCTCGCCTGCGCACGGAGAGCAAACCTCTGGTACCCAGGGAGTTGGGGACTGTGAGCGTTCTCCCTGGTGTTTGAGACTGGATCCCTCTCACTGAAGTGTACTCGCCCCATGAGAGCAGGGCCTGCAGAGCCAGGTCCAGTGTTATCCTGGGCAACTCAGTACTTAAAACAGCCACATCAGAAGCTGGTCCTGTGGGCACCTCTATCTGGTACTGGCATCCAGGGCGTTTCCTCAGCGCTGCCTCCTGGAAGGCCACCTGGTGTCTCCTCTGGGAGGGAGCCTGGTAGAGTGAGTGTGAGTGCTGGTGAACTTCTGGGAACCTGGTTTCTCTTTGGTCCATATACCAAGTTGAGCAACCACAGTGCTGAGCGGTCCTGAGGTGCTGGCTCCTCCTGCAGGGAGCCACCTAGGGGGGCTTTGAAAGTGTGCTCAGGGCCTTCTGGGTGTCAGGCCCGAGCTCCATGGAGAAAGATCGCTGCTTCTGAGCTGAAACCACAGGTGGCTTCCTGGGAGTGGGCAGGCGAGGGAGCAGGGGGCCTGCTGCAAGACCACGCTTAGCTGGGCTCCCAGCATCTAGACCCCCTGCAGCTCATCACAGGTGGGGACCACCTGGGAAGACCTCAAACAAATTCCCGTAAAGACTGATTCAAAGAAAAGGTAACAAGAAAATTAGAATTATATAAACTAAGGATTCAATGAATTGTCCTAGTCTGAGGTTTCCAACAAGAGACAACAAAAGTCACTATATAATACTAAAAGGATCAATCCAACAAGAGGATATAACCCTGATAAACATATGCACCCAAAATAGATGCACATATGTGTGTGTGTGTGTGTGTATGTGTATTTTATATATATATATATATATATATATATATATATATATATATATATATGTTGATTTTTTACAGAGAGGAAGAGTAAGGGATAGAGAGTTAGAAACATTGATGAGAGAGACTCAACTATCAGCTGCCTCCTTCACACTCCCTACTGGGGATGTGCCTGCAACCAAGGTACATGCCCTTGACTGGAATCAAACCCGGGACACTTCAGGCCGCAGGCCGACGCTCTATCCACTGAGCCAAACCGGTTTCAGCTGCACCTAAATATATTTTTAAAATTCTAGAGAACTTTAAGGGAGAAATGGACAACATTACAGTCATAGTAGAAGATTTTAATATCCCCCTGACTCCACTGGATAAACCTTCCAGACAAAAACTTAACAAGGAAACAGTGACTCAAGGACACACTGGAACAGAAGGATTTAATTGACATTTATAGAACATTTAACCCCAAAGCTGCAGAATATACATTCTTCTCAAGTGCACATGGAACATTCACAGAGCTAGACCACATGTTAGGACACAAGTTCAAGAAGATGGAAATCATATCAAGCATCTTCTCAGATCACAGTGGAATGATATTAGAAATCAACTACAGTAGAAACACACCAAACCATTGAAACACGGAAGCTATAATAGATAGCATGCTATTAAACAATGGGTTACCAATGAAATCAAGAAAGAAATTAAAAAAAAAAAAAAAACTTCCTGGAAACAAATGAACATACAATAACCCCAAATCTCTGGGACACCGCAAAAGCAGTCCTGGAAGTCATAGGCATACCTCAAAATACAAGAAAAGTCAACTTGAAGAGAGAACAAGAAAATCTCAGCGTAAGTAGAAGGAATGAAATAATATTAGAGCAGAAATAAATAACAGATGAAAAAAACTATACCAACCAAAATCGGTTTGGCTCAGTGGTAGAGCATCGGTCTGCGGACTGAAAGGTCCCAGGTTCTATTCCGGTCAAGGGCATGTTGCAGGCACATCCCCAGTAAAGGGTGTGCAAGAGGCAACTGGTCGATGTTTCTCATCATCGACGTTTCTAGCTCTCTATCTCTTTCTCCTCTCTGTAAAAAGTCAATGAAATATATTTAAAAAAAAA